CTAAGGGAGAACTCAGTGCAGACAGAAAAGATAAAACAGATGCATTACAAGTATTTTTTCTATAGTGCATATATGAATAATCTTATATCAAATACTGTTTATTATACTATTTGCATTTTTAGGCTTCATATGAAAAATTACTTGCAGCTACAGGTCAATTTTCAGAGTTGTTAGATTTGCCAATGCCAGAATTACCCGTTGAGAAAATAGTACCAGAAAGTGAAGGTGGAGTTATGGAAGGTACCTAACAGAGTATATATATATTATATATATATATATATATATATATATATATATATAATTATTAATCTACGATTTATTTACAATCTTTAGGTATAGTGGAAGCAGTAACTTCACCTATGGATCCCTGGGAAGACGATGAAACAAAGGCATTCTATGAAGATCTACCAGATCTTAGACAATATTTACCAAATTATTGTGCCAAGGAGGTAAGAATATTTGTAATAGTTTTTATTTAGTCCAGAAATGGTAATACTGTATAAGATTGAATTAATCGAGATATATCCTTTCCATTTAAGAAATCTGAAGACATATCAACAATATCTCCAGAGGTATTAGATTCTGATAATCCTGATCTTTTATTAAATGAAGATACTCAAATTACAGAAACAATTGAAACAGAAATTGAGGAAAACACACCATCAAATACGAAACAAATGCTAGAAGCATTCTTATCTAACTTATGTAATTGTGTCAACAAAGAAATGATTGATAGTGCTGCAATTGATTTTCTGCTTAACTTAAATACTAAACACGGTCGCAAAAAATTAGCTAAAAATTTGTTTGGTGTTTCTAGAACCAGACTTGATTTACTACCATTTTATGCACGTTTGGCTGCAACCGTTAGTTTAGTAAATGCAGATGTGGGCAATGACTTGGCTCAAATGTTAAAACAAGACTTTAAATACCATGTTCGTAAAAAGGATCAAATAAATATAGAATCTAAAATAAAAGTAGTTAGATATATTGGAGAACTAGTTAAATTTCAGTTGTATTCTAAAATGGAAGCTCTATTTTGTTTAAAGATTTTGTTATTAGACTTTCAACATCATCATATTGAAATGGCTTGTGCATTTTTAGAGGTCTGTGGAAAATATTTGTATAATCACATGGAGAGCAGACAAAGAACTTTAATTTATTTAGAACAAATAATGAGAATAAAAACAGTATCTGTTTTAGACTCTAGGCATGTCGCTCAAATAGAAAGTGTCTATTATTTGGTGAGACCACCAGATTCAACCAATGTAATTCAAAAAGTACGACTGCCCATCCATCAATATATACGGAACTTGATTTATCAAGACTTGTGCAAAATGAATATTGATAAAATTCTCAAGTTACTCCGGAAAATTGATTGGAATGATAAAAACATTGCAAACTATGCTATTAAATGTCTAACTAATGCTTACAATGTTCGATATCACTTAATTCGATGCTTAGCAGATTTACTTGCCGGATTGAGTTCACATCAAGAAAAAGCTGTTTATAAAGTAGTTGATGGAGTTTTTGAAGATATCAGGAATAGTTTGGAAAACTATACACCAAAATTTGCTCAGCGCAGAATAGCTATGGCTAAATATCTTGGAGAACTTTATAACTATCGTCTCATAGAATCAGCAGACATTCTAAAAACACTTTATGCCATCATTTCCTTAGGAGTCACCATGAGTTATAATATTGTTTCTGAAGTTGATCCACCTGCAAGTTTGTTTCGATTAAAACTAGCATGTGTATTACTCGAAACTTGTGCCCAATATTTCACAAGCTCACTCAGTAGAAAGCGCATGGATTACTTTTTGATTTTCTTCCAGAACTATTATTGGTTTAAGAAAAATGATCCAATTTGGGAGACAGAAAAATACCCTTTGCTTTTTGATCATGAGTATAAGGATAGTTTGCAATCAATTGGAAGAAAAATTACAATTTATAACTCTTTTGAGGAATGTCAGGAGGCTATAGATAATCTGAAAAAGATGTTATATCCAAATTTAGGTGAAGAGTCAAATGAGAATGATGTCACCGATTCATTGAATACTATTGAAGAAGAAACAGAAGGGGAAGAAGTTGATGAAACTGATGGAGATGTAGTGAATTCTCATGAAGATTCAGAGATGGACTTGAAGTACGTTATTATAATAATCATAGACACATTTTGGTAAAACATCTATTATAAAAAATATGCTATTTTTCAGAAATAATGATGATGAAGAATTAACTGAAGAATTTTCTGAACAAGAAGGCATTAGTAGCACTGAAGATGTTAAGGTTAAATTATTAAATACTACTCCAAGAGATACTGAAGAAGATCAACTCTTCCAACAAGTAACATTTGGACATCAAAATTCAAATAATAATAATAAATTCAATTGCTAAAATTATTATTTTGTTTACTTGCAGGCTTTGGATAAGATGATGGCAGAAAATTGCCAGGAAAGGCTTAAAGATACTGCTAAGATGCGACGTGATGATATTGTTGTACCGATGATAGCAAGGAATAATAAGAAGAATTATGATCAAATACAGGTGAATATCAAGCAATATTAAATTTATATTAGCACAGACTTTCTTGGCTTAGATTCTGATTAGAATTGCTGAAGCGCACGGCGAAAATCTAAACATTAATGAATTTTTATAATTGAACCACTTATAATAACATGAGATTCTTATTTTTTATGGTTTTCTGCAGGATGTGGCTTCAAACGAAACAAGTAAAGAAGTGCCGTTTGTTTTAATGCTTCGAAAAGGCACAAAACAGCAATATAAAAGCTTCAGTGCCCCCGTAGATTCACAACTCGCCATTAATTTAAAATCAAAGGAACAAGAAATAAAAGAAGAGAAGGAACGCGTTAAACGGTAATAAATCTTGAATTATAAAAATAACCAAAGTATTTGATTAATATGCTATGAAAATAATTTTAGACTAACACTTAATATCACTGAACGACTTGAAGAAGAAGACTACCAAGAAATGTTAGCTGCTAATTCTAGACAAAATACAACAACACATCATAATTCAAATAGAGATAGAGCTAAAGGCATTGGACGATTCAAGCATCAGAAAGGAGCACCTGATGCAGATTTAATTTTTGGCACCAAATGAGGTTGGGGTTAAATATTAAAACCATTTCAATGCTATATTTTACATTATAAGCTCCAATATTTTTGCCTAAATATTTAATAGAAAAAACTAAAATATTTTAAATTAAATAAATATATAAATAATTTAACAGCAGATACGTTTCTGCTTTTGTAGACATTGGTAAATCCCTTGGATCAAAGCTGATACGAATCACCTGCTTATGATAGCTTTTAAATGGCACAAGAAATATGCAGTTAATTTTTGGAGATGGATAATAAAACGAAGCAGCAGTGACGAAGATTATATTATACCAGAATATTATTTTTTTCAATTTTTTTTCAAAGTGTGAGTAGTAAAACTTGATTATCATTTATTGCATAATATCGTTTTTTTTTATTTTTATTATTTCATGTTATCAATATAAATATGCATATGTGAGCAATATTAAATTTTGCAATTCACATTAAATATTTTTCAATTTAAGATTTTATTCATATTGAATTAAATGATTATAAAAATTATATGAGATACACTATTGCTTTTATAACAAGATTCATTGTATTCATTTAAATTGCGAAAAATATTCTTGCTTTATTTGTTCCCTCATATGTAAAGGTGGTAATGTCGGACGTATACCTTGCCTTCTTCGCTCTGATTTTATTTTATTCTGCAAGGAAAAGATTATTAAATTATATGTTGTTAGCTTATCTCAGTCTTTAGCCAAATTTTTATTATTTTATGAGTATAATTAAATTGTAAGGAAAGAATTTCTCAAAGAAATTAAGAGCCAAAGCAAATTAAATATTTATAAGAATTTTCATGCTCAATTGTTGATCAAATTTATAGATAAATTATTTTTTGAATAACGAATATTTGAAAAAATATTGCAAGAAGGATTAAATATAAATAATATGAAGCTTCAAAGCAATCGAGTTATGTTCTATTATACTAATTTGTGTAATATTCAAAGTTCTAACCCAAAATGCTTTACACTGCTTGTAATTTTCAAAATGAGCTTCACAGGCATCGTGTTTGTAATTATTATCATTCAAACATTTCAATGATAAATTATGTTCCTGAAAGATAAATTCCGTTATATATTTTTTGTTTAAAATATTATTTTTTTTTATTCCTACTTTTAAACAGGGATTATTTTCCTCTTGAGCAGCCTGATTATTTGCCGGTCTCATTTCTTTTGTATGTTATTTAAATTATAATCTATATATATTGCATAAAAGTAAACATTGAGGTTATAATAGGTTAGGTAACATATGATTGTCAGAAACGTCAAGCGTCTTGTTGACATTTAAATACCAGAATTTGTCGCTAGGGGGTCTCTGATTTTATTAGGGTGTCTGCACACGTGGTATTATTAGGGTCAATAAGAAGAGTTTGATAGATGATAAGAAAATTTTTCTGGTAAAATTTGATTTATGAAATTTTACGTTTACATTACAATCAAATATTTTCAAAATTGCAGTTTTAGATTGGTGTTGGTTTTTGGTAAAAAGATTGATTTTTGAGCGAAGTCGTCATATTGAAAGAAATTATGATTAGAAGGCAACTCAGTGGTTGTCCTTTATTTTTGTGAGTCATATTTATCGTAAAGTCGTAATATTGTAGCAATACAATCAAATGTATTTCTAACTCAAAAACACACTTAGATCAACATTCTAAAATGAAAATTAGTATTTATACTTCCTGATATCAAGCTGCCTGTGATGATAAAGAAGCTGGGCTTGTGGTAGACCAAACAAACACCATATTTATTAATTTTGCTTTTATTACTTAACGAAATTCAATTAGTCACATGGAAAAAACAATCTATAGCTTAAATAAATAATTTTTTGTACACAGTTCTTACTTGAAATAAATAACATTTAAATTCGATCATTGTACATCATACAATAGTATGTTTCAAACCATCTTTATATCTGGTATGACCTATAATAAATTCATCAGAGCTATAAGAATCTGAAGAATTTCTTCTCTCTATATCTACAATACTATTTTCAAAATAATCGAATATATTTTCTTCAACTTCGTCTTCCATCAAAGGATCCAAAGGTGAAAATCCTCCCGTGTTGTCAGTATTATTGCTTATATCCTGGAACAAGACATAGGAGAAGTTGAACTTTGGGAATATAGTTTTTGGTGGATAAAATTACCTGTGAATTTGAATGTTCTACATCGACGTACTCCTGTGATTTATAATGTGCTTCAAAATCGTTTACTTCTTGCATAACTTCATCTAAGCGTTTTGCACTACAAAGTGGTGTATCAAAAGCATAAGTCCTGTTGAGGAGTTCGCAATCAGCTACATAACATTGGAGTCCTTCGTCAAACCTTTATAGATAGAGTTTCAACGTTCTAATTTTTTTTTTAAGTTTTTGGTCATCCTTTAACTGAACCTAATCAGTATTGTGCTTTATTAATTTTGAATAAAGTCTTTTATTACCTTAATAAGTTTTGGAATCGATGTCCCCACAAAATTTCTCTTGGCAGATAGGATGTTCGGGACTGTGTCAATTGCCCTGTGGCACTTGAACTTCCAGAAAAGGTTACGATTACTTCAAACCTGGTTATTGAAAATATATAATAAATTATCCTAATACAATAATAAAAAAATATTCGGGATAATGATTGAAAGACAAATATATTTTTATTTGTCACATTTTCAAAGTTCTTGGGGTGATCCAGTACCATTTACTCTTATTGCACTCGTTTTTTAAGAGAAAGAGGAATTAAATATGGATGCAATATATTATTATAGTAACTTACTTTTTCTCGAGCAAATCTTTCGCCGACAGATCATAAAAAGGACTGTCTTCATCTATCACATGGACCACTGCAACTGGCCACAATAACAAGAGATGACCATCAGATTCCAGTCGAAGTGGTGATTGATAAGATTTCAATCTTTCACCTATAAGAATAAAAAAAACAAATTGAAAAAGCTATTAATAATAATTGATGATACCTATCTTTATCTATCACGAATTTACCTTCTGGTGTCAACTTGTTTTCCAATAAATATGCTTTGATATCAGAACAAATTATATGAGTGTACCTAGGATCACAAACGCGAAACATCAGACAAAGGTGACCATCCCTTTGGCAAATCTATAAATAGTAAAAAAAATATTAAACGTCATCAAAAAGACATAATTATCAAATAGACAAATCTAATAGGAAAATTCATTATAAAGGTATAAATATTCTAGTCAAATCAGTCATTTACCACAGCTATTTTGCTAAAAATGACTTCCGTCAGTCGTTTAGAGGGCCTGATCATTTTTGCGTAAATAATTCCAACCATTGCGCCTTGGATTCCAATTCCAGCAACCACCTGCATCACCAGTAGAAATATTGCTTCTGGACATTCTTCGTTTGGGTAACGGAGACCGTAACCGATTGATACCTTTTCAGAAAAAAAATCTTTAAAAAAAATAATAGTCATGTGAATATTTGCAAACTTTTTAACAGCCCGAAGAAGAGGTTTATTTTTATCAAAAAATCTGATTTGCTAATTTTATGTTTTCTCGACATTTCAAGCTATTCTGAATCCAATGAGACCAAATTTGCAAAAAGTATATGTGTGTGTATGTGCGTGAACACATTTTTTGTAAAAGTTATTTCGAGTCATTTTTGATATTTTTGTCCTAAAACCTGAATTGGCTTGTGCATTTGTGTCAAAATTTTTCTTAAGACTAAATGCTAGTTACATCTAGTTTATTATCTTCATTCCCGCAGTAAGCAAATATTTTATCATCATTAAGCGATAAATACTTAATTTAATATAAATTATCAATAATTATTGCTGTTATCAGTTAATTGATTAGATTTCAGTCAAGAAATATTCAAAATTTGTCCGAAACTATTTTTAACTTCCCGAAGGAGGAGTTTGTATTTTCATCAAAAAATCCGACTCCCTAATTTTATTTTTTGCCGATGTCACAAGCCGTTCTGAATTGAATGAGACCAAATTTGCAAAAAGTTTGTGTGTGTGAACAAATTTTTTGCCGTAAATCGACGTTTTCTCAAAAATGGCTGGTCCGATTTCAAAAATTTAAAAGCTATTCGATGCACTTCGCTTAGGACTAGCGTTTCTTAGTTTTGTGCGACGATCGGTCGAGCCGTTTCTTTGCAATTCGCAGAAAAGTGGAAACATTTTCGTCCACGTTCTAGCCCGCAATTCTGAATTGATTTTGAAAATTCAAAAACTGTTCGAAAGATATTGGTTGGGAATCGATCTAATTAGTTTTTGGTAAAGATCGGCCGGGTTGTTTTCTTGTAAAAAAGAGTTAAAAAAAAAATTCGACGATTTTTATGATTTTTTTCTTGACGGTAGATACCATAGTCTTATAGATCATACTAAAATATTACGGCCCTACGACAAGTCGTTTAATTTTAAAAATTCTTCAAAGTTTGCAAATATTAGTATCGTTTTTTTTGGCGTTTGTAAAAATTAGAACTTTCATCAATTTCAAAATTTTGAAAGCTAATTGATGTATTTTGATGTGGATTACCTTTTCTCAGTTTTGTGCAGCCGAGCCGTTTCTTTGTAATTTGGAAAAAAAAGTTGAACTTTTCGTCCACATTTCATACTACCGAGTCGATTAAAAAAAAACAAAAACTGTTGGAAAGATATTAGTTGGGAATGATACTGATTAGTTCCAGATGAATATCTACCGAGCCGTTTTCTTATAATTAACTGTTTAAAAAAATATATGAGTCAATTTTTATGGAACTTTTTTTGGCGATATATTTCGTGGTCTTATAGAACTTACTGGAATATTACGGCCTTACGACAAGTAATTTAATTTTGAAAATTCATCAAAGTTTGAGAAAATAAGTAGTTTTTGTTTGATATTTGTTAAAATTAAAATTAGACGATTTACTTGTTTTAACGATAGAGTACTTGGTCTTAATGAACATACTAAACCATTAAAGTCCTGCAGAAACTGGTTCAATTATGAAAATTGTTGATTTTTGAAAATTTGCTCTTAGAAAATACTCCGAGTTAATGTGTTCGTTCGTTTCCAAATATGTGTAATAAATCCAATCGGAATACATTTAATCACTTAAAATTTAATTTAAATTTTATTGATTAAGTCGATCATTTACATATATCGGGAAGTTCATGTAAATTGCCTCAAGGCAGAAATACTAATACCAACTAGTTTCAATATTTGCTGAGATCACTATGACTTATATATCACTAATTTTTATTTCCTTAAAATTCTGTACTTTTTCTAGAATAACTTTCCATTTCGTTTCGAGTAGTTTCTGTTCCCTCACCTGAGTCTCTATACTCAATAATAAAAACCCAGCAAAATTCGTCGTTCCTTCAACACAAGGTCTACTTTTTCCATCCAGTCGTTGTCCATTCTCGTCAAGATTTAGGTCACCATGTGCCGCTGCCACCAGCCACCATAAAAGAGCAAATCCTGTCCAGCACAGGAAAAAACTCAGGGCGAATACTGTCAAGGTGTAACGCCATTGACCATCTACCTGGATAAAGGATGACATCAATGTTAAGGTATAAAGGGGATAATTATAAGTTCTTGATTTTTTCTTACCAATGTGTTGAAAATATCTTTCATGAAAGTGAGGGATTTATGTGCCACGTGGTGAATGGTGACATTGTAGTGACCAGCTTTGTCCACCGCCCTGACTTTTCTTCTGGTTCGAACACCATTCGTTTCTGCTGATCGGACACGTCTGCATCTAGGATTTCTAGTCACCTGTAAAAGTCAAAAACAATAAAAATAAAAATAAAGAGTGCGCGTTCACACTCTTGCGAAATAAAGGCTCACACGCGATTGAAGTAAAACTTTTTTGCTACTGTACAAGATGGCATTTAAGTGAAAATAAATACATCATATAACAGTTTTGAATAATGTTTATTAGTAATAAGGTAACACTCGCGATGCACACATTTATTAGTGTCAACCATTTTACACAGTTATATAATGATAATATTAAATTATATATTTATAATAACATTAAAAATATGTGTAATATTCAAAAACCATAATGTTTTTATACTTCAAATACGGCATGATCGGTTTGTCATTGTAATTAGCATTTAGAAATGCTAATTAATTTAGAGAATTGAAGTAATTGCTGATTAATAACTTCTTTAATATTCGTTCACACAGTGGATTATGTTAAACAACGCCTAAACAAGTATTGTTTCGCCACTTCACTTTTCATGTAATAATTGTGTTTGAAGAACTTCATGCAATTAAAATTAACATACATTCATTTACTGATGGTATTTTTTTTACTTTTTCGTTGGCGATATAATCTCATTCTTTGAACAGCTGTAATATCTGTTTTGCCTAAAAAATATTTTCTATTTCAATAACTTCAAAGATTTATAGAAACTACGAATAATATAGAATTTATTTCAATAAACTTAAGTTTCATACACGGCGCAAATGCTGCATATGTTTTATTATTTGTACTATGATGTAACTTTAAAATGTTTATTTATCTATGCCGATTTCTTTGTTGATATCGATACTCATACAACGTTGACGCCGGTACGCATACAAATGATCGAATATATTTTTTCAATCGTGAAATTTGTTGTATTATATTATCTTCAATGTAAAATTTAATATGATATGTTTTTTGTCTGTTATTACCACGCCACTGAAAAAACGTGGCGCTTGCACGTCTAGTCATAAAGATTTTTATTTCTTTTTAAAATAAATCTGTGTATATTTGTTTGTGTATTTTTTATCAATAAATCATTCATGAAACACAATAGTGGGCGTTGAAATTTCTCTTTCGACATTGAATTGTTGATTTGACGACGTCCTTATTCTGTACAAACGATCATTTGATAGAAGTGAAATATTCATATTATAATACTCGTATACTTCTTTTATTTTATTTATTTCTAATACATATAATTTTTATTATTTATTTTTTTATTATATTTGAGCAGCAATTATTTGTTTTGATGATATGTACTTCGACTCAACTAAATAAGCTTTTGGTAGGCAACTAAATGGTTGTCTTTTTCTAATATTTTACCTTTTTGCAGGGAAGGGCTATTTTCACTATGAAAACATATTTTGATCAAAGTGAAAATGATTATTGCTACTGATTGATATCAGGTTGAGACACAGGCTGGGGCTTTGTCACTTACACCATGTAGTCCACATACATGTTTTGATATAACATTTTTATTTTTATTATGACCATCCAACTATTTGCTTTACTTTGATTTTGGGTATATTTTATAGCACGCATGAATCCAGTTTACTTTTCTTTTTATCTTTAGTTTAATTTTTCAAATATGACATTATTTAAATTCTTTAAATCTTTAAATTTTTCAATTTTTTGCCACATGGATCCAGTTCAGTTTATTTTTAATTATGACAAAAAATGACAATTTTCATGGCACTTTAAATTATTTCCAGCGATTAAAATAAATTTCATCTAATTAGATTCTTAATTAGTCAGAAAATTTTTATAGCGCCTGTTGCATCATGTAACAAGTCCTTCGAGTTAGGGCTTGTTTCTATGAGCCGAAGTATTTACAAAAACAAAATAAGTATTTTCTTACAATTGTAAGAAAAAAAAAACGAAGTTAGATTTAATGTTCTTACATCAATTATTTTGACAAATGCCTGCTTTGCAAAAGCAAATTTAAAATGACTATCAAATTCACAATTTTCATTTACTTTACTGAAGGAATAAATTATGGTTTCAAAACTGGTAACAGGTTTTAATAAAATTAACAGAAAATTCCAGTCCACGTTTAAGTATAAGTTTTTTTACAATATTAGAAAATTGCTGTACACTGCAAACAGTAAGTAAGATGTATCTTAAGATCTTACTAAAAGCAAAGTATGTTATGTACTTGAGGCTATGAATATAGTTTCAAAGCATAGCACGTGTACCAACACAGCAAAAAATAAATGTAAAAATTCACTTTGCTCTGGAAAGTTAAACAAATTGTTGTATAAAATATTGTTGATAATATTATTATTTTTTGGATTTTCATTAGGATCATGAGTGCACAGCTTACTATGCCAATAAAACGGTAATCACGCTAAACATAAGAACACGAATCATGCAAAGAATTTAAATTTCTTGGGAAGACTGTTGCACTATGCTGCGCGAATTAAAATGAACATTGAGAAAATTTCAACAACGTTATTTGTTTAACGTGCTAAGAAAATAAAATATAATGCATAAATGACAAATACTAATAACGATAAAATCATAAAATAATCATATGTAACTATTTTAGAATCGTTGAATATTTTTTTACGAGAACACATTCAAATTTATATATAAATAAACAAATATTTTTCGACACATGTGGAATTTTTTATGCTTTTATCAATGGTGCAAATTATTATATATTTATAAGCCAATTAAGCAGTCATCACGATGTAATTGTGATTTAAATTATATGTACACAAATTTTTGCACGAATTTGGATAACGAATCGAACAATATTTGAATAAATTTAGATTATTATTCTGTTTGAAATAACTTGGTTTAAATCAAACTCCCATTTATTCAGGATTGTTTAATATGATAGATGACTTGCAAATCCTGGTTTATTTTATTAATTAATAATTTAATATTCATTTTAACTTTCCGTAGGGTAAGTTATAGCAATCGCAAAAAAATCGAGAATGAAATTTCGTTTCAGAGGTTTCTGAGCATTTTGGCATATAGAAAAAATTGATGTGTGTGGGTGGGATACATTTTTTTGTCCACAATTTCGAGACCATTTAAAAATTTTAAATTATGATACGGGAAGTTCCAGCAATTTGTTTTAAGGCACGATTTCATAGTTAATTTTATTTACGTTTCAAAGGTTTCTGAACATGTTGTGTCTCAAAAATGTGTGTGTGCGGATACAAATTTTTGCCGACGATTTCGGGAAAACGGATCAACCGATTTGAATGATTCAAATAACATTTAATTTATATTGATGGGGAGCTTTTGGACAAGGCAGGTCCAGCCGTTTTGAAAATACGGGGCAAATAGTGCCAGAAATGGTACTTCAGTTTTTGAGAGAAGGGAGCTGCCGATTTGAATGATTCAAAAAACATTTTATTCTTATTGACGACTTGAAGAACTCATTGAATTTTTAGGAAGGCAGGTTCAGCGGTTTTGGAGATCGATTGAGAAAGTATTCCGTACTATTCAATGCTTAGCCGATATTTTGCGATGCAGCGCCTACGCGCTTCAATATCTCGTCTCTAAAACAATATCTATCTAAAACAACTGCGCAGCGCGATTGCTTTGAAAAAAGTTCAAGATTTTCAAAAAAAAATTAAAATATTGAAAAACAATTTAAATCTTTCAAAACAAAAATTTTTTTTCAAAAATTTCAAAATTCTCAAAAATCTAAATTTTTCAGATTTCCAAAAATTTAAAGCTTATTTATGAATTTAAATTTTTGTTAGGTGAAGTTCCAGCAATTTGCCTTAAGGCACAATGCCATAAACCAACCACTAGAGTAATATTTATTTACAATTTTTATTCATTGATCTTCTTTCACATTTTTTATTACATTTTTATTCCTGGATTTTTCTATTATATATTATATTTTATTTATTTTTTAAATATGTTTCATAATATTATATTACATTTGGCTTATCATAATATATTATGATTAACAAGATATATCTGCATTTTATATATTTAGTGCAATATTTCATGTGTATATTAAATTACTTTTTGTACTTTATAAAAAAAACTATTGTTTCTGTATATTAAACAATTCAAACAAATTTCGCTATTTTAAATATTTTGTACAAAATATAAAATTTACCATACTATTTTAATACAAATATGTACATTTTGTGTTTAAAATATTTGAAATATTTCTTACAATACGTTAGCTTTTGTATTTTAAATATTTCATTTATAGTTTGTTTTGGCAAGTGAATTAAGTGAAGCGTTTTGTTCAAATAGATTTGTTCGGTCACGTTTTTGATAATATAATAAAGTAAATGGAATGAATTGAAATGCAAACAACGTCCCAGGTAATAATAATGTAATTTTGTCATCGTCCTTTTGAACAATTTGTATCATATGATTGCAATAAATTAGAATGATGGACGTGAATTCCTATGACAAATATGTACCTAATTGGATAGAGATATAGTATATGGAAACAAACATCACGTTTATAATATATATATATATATATATATATATATATATATATATAAATATATAAATACACACACACTTCGACACCAATTCGACCAAATAATTATATATATGACTGATCTAAATTTTCATACCCAATTCTCCAAATTATTCTCTAATTATTACAGATTTTTTAAATTTTTTATCTTAAACCTAGAAAATTTCAAACAAATAGTTAAAATGTTTGCTCACATAGAATCTTGAAAGAGTTTTGCGGGAATCTTATAAGAATTTTATGAGTTCAGATTTACTAGTATTGAACCCAAAATTTGGTGAAACAATATATGCATAATATTAAAATTTATATAAAAATCTTGTAATCACGCGTATAAAAACTATAATAGTATTTGTTTTTAGTAAATGTTTGCTAACATAACGAAAAGTTTCGTGGGAATCTTATAAGAATTTTATAAGAATCTTATAAAATTCACATTTCTAGTATATAACCGTCTGGACCAAATCTATATATTGTCTGCATGTACACAATTTTTATTATTATTTATTTATACCAGCAAAACAATTTTAATAACTCTTTACTTTTAATAAACTAAATATATTATATAGTAAATTAATTTTATTAATTGCATATCCTGCAATGCGAGTAGTCAAGTAACGTTAAAAATATTTACTTAAAATTAACAATATTTACTCAAACTTTTTTTTTAAATATAACTAACTTTAAATATAATTTTTACTTGATATTTACTTCAATTTCCACTGGAAGAATTAATCCTGACTGGTGGTTTCTGCTGATGTCTTCTAAATTACTATTATCCATTGTGATTTATTTTTAAATTAACTTTATCACATAATAATTACACTTTATAAATAAATAACACTTAAAAATATAAATCAGTATTCTAATTCATTAAATTAAAAAAAAATAGGAAAATTTGAATAGTCGTTTTTTATATATTTATATAAAATGAAATTACATAAATTCCTACAGTTTATTCATTATTAACAAATAAAATTAGTTATTTAAATTAATAAAACATCATTTTTTATTTTAACACTTGATTTATAACTATTCATATATATTTATGTTTTAATCTTGACTATTTGTGTTTATATTTATCTAAGCGTTTTATTATTTATTTACATAGTATTAATTTGTTTAATTAATATGTATCATCTTTAATATCATTTTAATTATATTAAATTTTTAATTTAAATCAATTTATTCAAATTTGGAATATTTAAATTTAATATAACTACACATCAGATATAAAATAGTTTAGACTTCAAATTGTTTATAATTTACTATAACTTACTAATTAATTATGCAAATTACTAATTTTCAACGAATAATTTACATTTAAATTGTTCATTTAACTCATTTTTAATATTTTTAGGTAATATTCGGCTAGAAAATGTAATAATATTAATTCAGAATCTTAGATCACAATGTATGATTAATTTCACATTATTTATTACTGTTTTTTCAATTTAATTTTTTTATATACTTCCTATTTTTAATATAAATTATTACATTATAAAAGTAGCACTATAAATTATCACTAATGTGTTTAATTAATAAAAATTATTTTTTTTGGACTCAACACTTCAAATGTTTCTAAATAATTTTAGTCCACTTTTTTAATATATCTTTATCTTTAAGATTTTTTTTAACAAAAATTTAAAGCGATATTATTTATTAAAAATGTTTTAAATATTTTTTTTAATTTGAAATATTAATGAATTATTTTTATTTTCTAATAAGACAATATAAGCACAACATTATCTAAAGTTTTTACACATTTTTTTTAAATTTAATAAATTTTAATATATTTATTTTATCTTTTTTGCAGTATTTAAGCAAATCTGCAATAAAAACGGTCCATCGTTTACGAGATGTAATGTAATACTGTGAGGAACAGGTTATCGCGTTTTTATTTATCGTACGTGTTTTTAAGATAAATAAACCATTGTCGTCGTTTATTTTTTTAAATAAATAATTCTTTATGCATTTTTGTTGCACATTATTGCTTCAATATTACTAACATTCAAAAATCAACTACTTTTAAGTTTTAATTTTATTTCATCCTAATCGGATACAATACATATATATTTATTGCTTACATTTTATTAAATACTGTTTTTGACAATTATAAGCATTAGTGCATTTTAGACATATAAAATATGAATTCACAGTATATATTCATAATAATTTATTTGAAAATGCACAAAATTATTGTTAATCTTAAAATAAGTGAAAATCTGGCGCCAAATTCTTGCTCACCTTACCAGAAAACTTGACAGAAATCCTGTTTAAATAAATACTGGCGTCGGGTGCACCGGACTTAACATCCTTGAATTTTTCTTTTATAATAAGTAATAATTAAATTTATATATGTTTTGAAGCAATTTAACATACCTTAGTGAAGAATTATAAAGTTAATTTTCATAAAGTTGAAATAACATTTGCTTTTTTTTTAAATTATTCCCAAATTTGACATTTGATAAGACAGCGTTTGACGTGAACAGTCACCTTCTTATTGTAAAAAAGCAGGAAAAAATAAATTAACTTAATAGTGTATATTTAGTAACTAAAAAAGAATAAAGCATATAACTAAAGTAAGAATATATGAATAAATATATATATATATTTTTTTTCAAATAATTTGATTTAAATGACAGTTTAAACAGTCGTGTTCTTATTGGCAAAGTTCAAGTCAGTTCAAAGGCGCAAAATTCAAAATCAACTTTTTGACACTTGCTTGTTACTTGAATAGTCTTCATGCAATGTCTGCATTGCCAATAAAGTTGATATATTAAAAATGTTTGTGCATCGATTAACAAAACTTACACAATTTAGAAGTCTTTCAACGTCGACTTCTAAATTAACTGCAAATTTAAACATCAAGTCGCTACATGATGAAAATAAATTAGGAGAAAACATAACCATAAAGGTTAACTTTTATTTCTTATTTCTCTATATTATATATGTGTTATTGTTTTTTTTTAAAGGGCTTTTTTTAGGGTTGGGTCAAAGCAATCCGAAAAATGAAATCAACAGTTTTCCTTGATATCAACGATGGTTCTTGTAACAATGTACTCCAGGTTACTTTACCCGCTGAAAAGAAACATGAGCTAGTTACTTACGGAGCTTCTGTAGAAGCTATCGGACAGTTAGGTTTGACGCCTAAGCAACAATTAGAGCTAAAAGCCAATGAAGTTAAATTAATAGGTAAATGTGCAGTCTCTGACAATTACCCATTCGCTCCAAGAAAGGTTTATCCTCCTGATTATGTCAGAAAGTTTTTACATATGAGAAGTAGGACTTCAAAACAATCTGCATTGTTAAGAGTTAGAAGTCGAGCCACTTTAGAAACTCATAACTTTTTTATCAATGATAATTTTGTTCATGTGCACACTCCTATTCTGACGTCAAATGATTGTGAAGGAGCTGGGGAGGTTTTTAGGGTACAACCAGAGAGTATGACCACATTGAAAATGATGGCTAAAAAGGATGTTCCTTTAGATCAGGCTTATTTTAATACTAAAGCCTATTTAACTGTGTCCGGACAGTTGCATTTAGAAGCAGCAGCGCATGGACTATCAAATGTATATACATTTGGCCCCACTTTCAGGGCTGAAAATTCTAGGTCAACATTACATCTTTCTGAATTTTACATGATAGAAGCTGAAAAAGCTTTTGTAACGAATTTATTAGATATTACCAAACTTTGCGAAGACATGATAAAAAGTATAGCAGAAAAAACATTAAGTGCTTGTGAATCAGATTTAAAAAAATATCAGATGACAATGATGTCAAATACGATTGGATAAATAAAGAATTTGGTGTAATGGAATATGATGAAGCTATTGATATTTTATTGAAAAGCAATCAGAAGTTTTCAACACCTGTAGAGAAGAACCAAGCGTTATCAAAAGAACATGAATTTTATTTAGTACAACATAATAATAATATTCCTTTGTTTGTTATAAATTGGCCAAAAGAAATTAAATCTTTTATATGAAACAAAATGAAAGTGATGAATCCAAGGTATGTTAATAATTCTGAAATATTGAATACTTTCTTTCACATTACAAAGTTTTATAAATTTTTTCAGGTTGCAGCCTTTGACTTATTTGCTCCTGGAGTTGGTGAATTAGCAGGAGGAAGTTTAAGAGAAAATAATTATGATTTATTAAAACAACGATTACCAAATTCAGATAATTTTGAATGGTATTTACAACTGCGAGAGTTTGGTAATGTTCCAACTGGAGGTTTTGGATTAGGTTTTGAAAGGCTTTTGCAATTTTTAACAGGTATTTCAAATATTAAAGACACTATACCATTTCCTCGGTGGCCTCATAATTGTATGTTATGAATATATTAAATGTATTTATTATTAAGTAGAATGAATTAATTCTTTATATTTTGTTATTAAATATAAAGTTGAATTTTACAAAATACTCAATTTCAATATAGTCCTGAATTTTGTTTTTACTAATAAAACGAAGATTTGTTGGTAAAAATTATATTTTTCCGTATTCATAATAAATGCAGTCAATATACAGATTAATATATCATAAATATATCAAAAAAATAAAAACACTGAAATAAAATTAATTGGATTAAAGGATTAAAAACAATTTCCTTTAAGTAGATAAATAAAGTCTATGATAATCATTGGCACCAAATGCACAATTACATTTAGGACACTTCCTCTGTCTTGTTTCATATCTTGTTCGCAAACAATCCCAGCAAAATACGTGGAAACATTTTGAAAGCACTGCATCCTTACGCTTAACTTTACAAGAGGGACAAGTTAGAGTTTCCTTGTACTCTCTTATTTCTTCTAACATAACTTCATCGATAGATGTACCAGCCATCTCAATTTTCTTCATGCGTTCTGCCTTTCTTCTGAACTGAGCTAATTCCTCCTATAAAATAGAATGATTTTGATCATTCTTAATTCATTGTTACTTAAATTATTTATAATAAAATATCAAACCTGAACTCTCTTCGTCTTGTAAGCTTCTGCTTCTAGTGAACTTGTTTTTTCAGCTACAACTTGTTGTGCTTCTTTCATTTGAGAATGGTATTTTTCTGGAAAAACATGTTACACCTTCAGTTATTTCTTTAATTTTTTTAATTGCAAGTGCTGCTGCATAATTATTACTCACCTAAATGCAATTTCAAATCTGCTGCACTCTGAGCAGATTCAATTGCCTTTCGTTTATGCATTTCCAAAGCCTGTTGTCGCAACACTAATTCTTTTTCAACTGTTGTTAAAGTATTTTGGAGAATCCTTTCCTTTTCTTCCAACTTTCTTAAAACTACATTCATTGCTTCAATTTGAGTTTCTCTTGTTGCTACCTGTAACAATGATTAAAGTACATATTAAGACCACTTTTACCCGGTCATTAAAATAATATTAAAACAAAAAATGTCATATTTATTACCTGTTCTTGAAGAATCTGTTTTTCTTCCCTTAACATTTTGTGCAGTTGATTGGCTTTGATTCTGTCCGACATTAATTTGAAATTTGCATCATCCTTTTCTCTTAATTGTTGAACAAGCCTTGAATTCTGTTCCTGCATATCTTCAAAAGCTTGCCCGGTGACTTCCATCTCATTCAATAATGCCTCTTCCTCCTGGTAGAGTTAATAAAATTTAAAATTATTCAAATACGACAACGGTACTTAAATTATCTACTACAAACCGCTGATCCAGCAAAGGGCCTATTGTAATGACTTGCAGGCCAAGCACTTTCTGCAGGTGCTTTTTGGGATGCAACTTGTTTTTGCAGTTCATATTTTTGTTCCTCAAGTTGTTTGATTTTTTTTAAAGCATCCTCATCTGCCATCTTTTTCCTTTCATCCCTTTTATTATCCTTAGAAAAAACAGGCTGAAATAAGATTCAATTTAACATAGAACATAAAACCATATTTCTCTATTATATAAATAAAATAGTACCTGTATTTTTTTCAATTGCTGTTTCAAATCTTCAACTTCGGCCCTAGCTTTTTTCTCAGCAGCCATAAGTTGAACTTTATCACGTTGTTCTTTACTAACTCCTTTGTACATATCAAGCAGTAATTTCATTTCTTTTTGATCATTCATTGCTTTTCTAAAAAAAATTTAAAGACATTGAACAACCTATAGTTATTGTTAGTTATTAACATAATAAACTATATCATACTTCAATTGAGCTTTCAAATCTCTGACCATATCTGATTCAGCAATTTTTGCTTCTTTAGCTCTTTGTGCATCCCTTTGCTCCTTTTCAGTTTTACCAGGTTCCTTTTTAATTTGAGCACCACCTTTATCTTGTTTTGCGCCCTAAAAAAGTAATAAAATAACATTAATTAGGACTACAAGTTTATTTTATAACTCTTAGTTATTCTTACTTCTGGATCATCCTCCTCTTTCTTGACACATTGTCCAGTATTTGCTTCATCTTTAACTGGAGTATTTCCAGTATTATGTGCATCAGTTCCACTCTCTTCTTTTATGTTATCCTTAAAAGGACCAGTGGTACTTCCTCCACAATTTGTACCTTCTTTCTCATGTTTAATTTCGGTATCACCTTGGTTTTGAGCATTATTTGATGAACCGATCCGCGCTGTGAGGTCTTCAATTTCCTTTTTCAACTATAAAAGAAATAAATATTATAATTTAAATATATATATATATATATATATATATATATATATATTACCTTAGGTATTTCAGCATTGGCATCTTTATATTTTCTTTTATAACGTTGCACTTCGCCCTTTAATTGACCATTGTGGTTTTGTAAAGAAGTGATTAAATGCCTCATTTCTCTATTTATGGGTCCAGTTTGTTCATTTGCTGCCAAGTTTTGCTCAAATTCAATTCTCAGCATTTCATATTCTTTTCGAAGTTGTGCTAAAACATCCTCCAGTTGAATCATCTCTCCTCTTAATTTCTTTTGCGCTATTAATTCTTCACTCTATTAAATATATATTGTAAGAAATAATAGATAATAAATGATGAATGTAATTTATACATACCTCCATCATTTCTATCTGTCTCAGATGTTGATTTTTGCAGGTTTGTAATTGCACTCTGGTTTCATCTAATACTGTCTTGATTTGCATAGATTCATTATATAAAACAGAAAATTGGGATTGTAGACACTTATATTCTGTTGTTTCGACAATAACCGATTCTGGTAATTGTCTTATCTGAAAAATTCAGGTTTCAAGTCAATTCTGAAAAATATATCTGATTCTATTAAGTAAAAATGGGGACATACATCCATTTTTAGCTTCTCAACTTCTTTCAATGAATCTCTGTGCTGCTGATGAAGTTTATCAAGTTCTTGTAGACGATTGTTTGCCAATTCCCTATATTCTTCTAATTCCTTGTGTAAATCTTCTAATTGAGAAGCTGCCACATTAGTTGTTACAACACCTTTACCTTTAAACATGAGATAATAATAAATAAAGAAACTTATAACGAATAACATAATGATTTCTTAAAATATTACTATTTATCTAACCTGCATTTGAAGATTTATCACTATCACCATGCAATTGATGATAAGTCTTCAATTTTTCTATAGCTTCTGCTAAATGATTTTCTAATTTGTCATTTCGTGATCGCACCTACAAATATTCATAGAATTATTAGAATGATAATAGGTGCTTAGTTTTATTAAAAACACAAACCTTCTGTAACTCATACTGAAGATCATCAATTTGATTCCTTAGTTCTGCCGCTTCAGTATCTTTGCCTGTAACAGAATCCTGAAGTTCTGATGTTTTTAAGCACATTATATGATGTTTCTCGTGCAAAGATGTATTTAAAGATTGTAGATTTCTATTTTCTGCCTGTACATCCATAAAAGCTTGTTGTAATGTCTCATCAAGATTAGCTGTAAAGTACATTTAATAATGAATATTTATCTTTATTTGTTAAGAATTTTTAATTCCCAATCAATTACCTGCACCTTCTTCCTCTTTCAATGCAAGTGTGATCTTTTCATTTCTCTGCATCAATCTATCAAATACTTGTACAATTTTTGCCACGGCACGCTTTGATACTTGAACACGATTTGCAAGTTTATCATCTAATTCTTCTTTGTCCCAAGTCGATAATTGCATCAAGAAAGATGTAGTAGCCTCATTTTCATCTGTAAACATATTAAATATATTAATTTATGTACCAAAAGTAAATGTGGACAAAATGAAATGTTGGTTACTTTTATTTTCTAATTCATCTGCTGTTTCGGCATCAAATCTTTGTAACAATACTCTTATATCCTCGTTTAACTGATTCCAATATCTGTTCACAACGTTCAAAACAGCATCATCTTGCGTTTGTCTTTTTTCTAACTGTTCTATTCTTTGCCGCAATTCAGCTTCTGATCTATGCCTTTGTTCAATACGCTGAGAAAAATTATAAATGATCATATGAGCAACTTTTATTGAATTAGAAGATTTGTTTACGTTATTCTAACAAATAAGTTACCTGTGCTAGCTTTTTATTTTGAAATTGCAGTACTTTGATATCCATTTCTTCAAGGTAGATATAGGGCCTATTAAATGAGGTTCAAACTGAACCTTTTTTATGGGAGGAAGCCCGGAGCCCCGGGATCTTCAGCCGGCCTCTTTGCCATGTCGGGTTTTCTACCAATTTTTCCTTTCGTCTGTTTCAATAAGTAGAATATAAAAAATAATAACTTTAATCAAAAAACAATCTAGTCGTTTCGATATAATTAAATGTCACGAATAATGATCTATGTATGATTTATTGTTAGTAAATATGGTAAACTAAATAGTATACACGGTTTAGTGAACTGGACCACACAAAATCGATCTTTGTTATTTAAATACGTACATATATAGTTTCCTAAGCATGTAAATAATGAAATGTCAAGCGACAACTAAGCGGCATCTGCCATTTTGTTAGGGACACACCATAGATGATCACAACGCTTTTGTATAGACCATCTCACGTAACACATTTTCTCTATGGATTTGTTTGTAAGGGCTTTGGCACACAGCAGTGAGTCATGAATGATTTTTTTGAGAAATTGTTTTTTTTGAATATTTTGAAAAAATTAGTGGTACATGGAAATCGTGCCTTGAGGGAAATTGCTGGAACTTCCCGCACAAAAATCAATATTTTTTAAAAAAGATTTTTTTTTCAAACTTTGAAAAAGTGGATTTTTGAGAAATTTTAAATTTTTGGAAGTTTTTGAACATTTTGAGATTTTTTTGATGCCCATTGAAGTCAGTTGACCCATACTATCAATAATGTCGAAGACGTCGAAGTTTTTTTTTGAATCATTCAAATAGTATACTCTGTTCTCAAAAATTGCCAATTTTTAGATTTTGAGATTTTTGAAAACTTTGATCCCCATTAAGTCAAAACCCATACATCAACCATGTTCCTCATCAATACAAGTGAATTTTTTTGAATCATTCAAATAGTATACTCTGTTCTGTCCAAAATTGTCAATTTTTACTATTTTTCTTATATTTGGAACAACGGACCTGCCTTGCAAAAAATAATCAACACGTCTCCTCATCAATAGGAATTGATTTTTGAATCATTAAATCGGTTATCCGTGGTCTCGAATCGTCGACAAAAATTTCTATCCGCACTTACATATATAAAAACACACGCACACTTATAAATCGTTTCAAACGTAAAGATATGCAAAATATTTGCATTTTTGATTTTTTCGATTACTAGAACTTACCCTTACGGATGTTATAATATTATATCTCAAAATATTAAATGTGAGTATCTTGTCTATTTTGATTTAACACTTTTATACTAAAAAAAGAAACTTTTCAAAGTAATTGCTTATTTTATATTTTAATGCAAGTTTGTACATTTTTTATAAATTAATTATTTATGCTCAATATTAAATAATGTCTTCTTATTTTACTATATGTGCATATATCACTTCTGGATTCGTATATTTTTCAAAACAGTGAGGGTTGATGTTGTTTTTTCCAAAATACGAATCCATTATTGAAATAACCAGGAAGTCAGCGAAAATTCAGGTTCAGGATTATTTTCGCGATTTTCACATTCGGTTTTGTACATGGCATTTAATTTTGCTATATCTGCATCACTTAAATGATCTCTTTGTCCTATTTTGGCTTCAGCTTCCTGAAAATCAAATACAAACATTGTAATACACATAAACTTGACTCTTACCTATATATAGTTACTTTACCACAGTTCAACTTACCAAAGGTTCTATAGTAACTTCACCATTTTTGGAAAATGCCTTCGAACTATAATGCATGATACTTGTATAATCGTATACTTGTTCATAGCTGGTCACAACAGTGTCGTTGTATTTTTCAAAATTATTTTCTCTACCTGAAAGAATCAATAGTTTTTTTTAACCTCTTTTCCGGGTTTTAGGATCATTAAAGTCTCTTACCTTCCTGAATGTTTTCCCAGTGTATTTTGACATGATTATCTCTATCAGCAGCACTTTGCTGATGGAAGAATCCAAGAGCATGTAAGAATTCGTGAATGATAATTCCACGATGATTGCAACCAGGAACTTGTAAATTGACGACCTGGCCTCCTGATTGTCTTCCAACTGAAGACCAGCAGCCTGGTCTGCTACTTCGGATCTGAGAGAAATAAAAATCAAAATTAGGGGACAAGGATTTGAGGATGCTGAATCATTTAGTTAACTATGGTAGTGGACAATTTATCCTTGGATAATTATAACCAACCATATGATGTTGATATTGGGAGCTGGAAACATTTTTGCAAAAGGAATTCAAGATATCATAAGGCAATCCATTCTGAGCTTGATGGGAATTAAGTCAATTGCCAATGTGAATTATGACTTATTGTTGAGGACAATTTTTATAGAAATTTTATTTTTACTAAGATGAATCATAAGAATTTACCATAATAAAATCACGGTCCGTTAATCTGAACGGACGAATCGAATACACGTCTTGTTATGATATTCCTGGATGGCATCCAATACTTTTTCTATATTTTCGTCACCTGTAAAAATGAATATTAATAAAATGGATTTTTAACAACATGGTTTTCTATTTATAGTTATTTACTGAATTCTAGTTCCGTTTATAAAATAAGGGACAATTCCATCTTTCCATCTGTATTTATCACCACGTAGACCATTTTTGCCCAAATCACCAGAAGGTGGTAAAATATCTCCTTCGATCAAGCCGCTCATTTCCCAGGCGTTTTCGTCTTTGGATGGATCCCATGTTGAAACCTTGTCTTCTGCAAACATAAAAAATAGTTTGGTATCTTCAAGAAGTAGAAAATGCTTGAAATTACATGAGTACAAATATGTAAAGGGTCCGCCATCTATTTTTTTTTTTTTTTTTGGAGCCATTTAGATTTTTTTCGCAGCCATTTAAGAGTTAGACAGCCATTTGAGCGTTTTCAAATAAAGTTGGTCCATTATTAACTGGAAGAACTGTACTTCGAATAAAAAAAGAAATTTTAAAAAAATATTCAGTAGTTTTTTTTATAGCATTTTAAAAAATATATGGCGCGCCCTATATGTAGTGTAAAATATGAAACTGAGGCAATTTCCATCTGGCAAAAGGGAATTTAGTAACATCTGGTACAAGACAATTTAAAAATGTATGGTCTGAAACTTATGACGTAGATCAGTTAGATGAAAATAATATATCCTATTATAAAAATATAGGTAGGAATTAGACAGTATGAATGCAATTCATGGACTGTCAATAGTATTTGGAAGAGAACGGATTTAGCAATTAAGCTTGAGATACAAATCCATAAATCACAAGTACAAAACAATATCAGTACCTATTTCTTTAGCCGTTTGTTCGGAGACGTAGTACCCTGTATGTTCTGGTTCCGGAGGAGTTACTTGCTGTCCACGTTTGTAAGCCTGGCTGGCACCACACATTACGACAACAAACAAAAACTTTTCGAAAACAAACATTGCAAACTCACAAATTTTACTATTAAACTGGTAAATTTACTCGTTTCGCCTAAGCACTTAAGTCAACTATTGTCAAAGTTCAAAGAATGTAATGTTATATACCTTTAAATTATCAATTCTTTTATTTATCGTCGTCACGTATTTTGCAACAGGATAACTTATACGTAAAGTTAATGTAATAAAAATACATTAAAATGATAATTTAAATTTGTTCCAGTTGCCGGTAATGCATAAATGGGTCAATGTTGTTGTATGATAATAAGCAAATCAGAATGTAAATTAATGGATTAGGACTTTAAAGTAAAAATGATAAACTAATTTAATATTTTGAGTATTGAACGAAAAATTTGGCTGTTTACATTTTACATTGATAAGTTATTGCCGAATATAATTATTTTTAACTTCTTGCAGGCTAAGTTATAGTAATCGTTCAAAAATCGAAAAGTTTTGCATATATTTACGTTTCAAAGGTTTCTGACATTTTGGCATATATATAGAAAAAATTGATATATGTGTATGTGTGTGTAAATGTATTTCGAGATTATCCGATTTGAATGATTCAAAAAACATTAAATACTTATCCATGGGAATGCGTTCTGATTAGCTTTTGTCCAAGGCAGGTCCAGCTATTTCGAAGAACTGGACCAAAAGTGCGAAATATAGCATATCAGTTTTTGAAAGAACGGAGCATCCGATTTGAATGATTCAAAAAAAACATTTTACTTGGTTTGATTGGAAGGATGAATGAATAAATTTGTGGGGAGCATGCCTTAATTAATTTTTTTCAAAAAAGGCGATTCTTTCACCATTTCAAAATTCTCCAAGAAATCTCATTTTTTCTACGGTATGGGAAATTCCAGCAATATGCTTAAGGCACGATGCCAGGTAGAGGTTTATGGCCTGCAGGGTTTAATCTATATTAATAATTATTTGTAGTACCTAAACCAATCTGCTAATTTTGTTGCCTCAAATCATTCTGAATCGTTTGACACCAAAATTGCAAAAAGTGTGTGTGTGGTAAATCAAATGTGACTTCAAAAATTTAAAATCCATTTGAAAAAACTCCATATTTAAGGCTAACACCTTAAAGACAATAAAAAATTATTTAAACATATAGTTAGTTATTATAAACTTTTAAAGATGTATTCTTACAATATCTTATTGTTAGTAAACTTATTTTATGTATAATTTCTATTTCTCAAAAATAGTTGATGTTAATGAACTTCAATTTAAAATAGCAACTCCATGTCTAGGGTATGAAAAATATAGGTTTGTATGTCACAAATCATCTGAGATTTTCCGCAAATCTCAAAATTACATTCTTTTATAAACAAAAACAGTGTGAATGACCATCTCGCAATAAGTTTATTTTTCATAAAATGAAATTCTACGCTTTCTGTCTGGATAATTACGTATTAATTATGGTTTTGAATATCCATTTTAAATGGCTACTAGACTGTAATACTATACTTTTATCAAATGAGCTTGCATAAAAAATAATAAAAATAAAATAGGCATGAAAATATTAGAAAACATAAAATCGCCTTTGTATTCTTTTTTACAAAAATATAAAGATTATAATAACTTTTCTCAACTAAATGTGTACTTCTAAAATTCCGTAGGGTAAGTTTTTGTAATGGGCCGAAAATCGAAATTGAAAATTTCACATTTCTCGACGTTTTGAAGGTTTCTGAAATTTTGGCATACCTCAGAGAAAAAATGGATTTGTGTGTATGTATGTATGTATGGATACAAATTTCCAGTCACGTTTTCAGGCGCACGATCAACCGATTTGAATGGTTAAAAAACATTCGATTCCTATTGATAGGGAGATGAGCTGATTAGTTTTTGGCAAAGGCAGGTCCAGCTGTTACGGAGATAAAGAGCAAGATGAATGCGAAAATAGATCAAATCCACTTCGAATGCTTTCAATCACTCATAAATTAATTTTTTATCATGGATTAAGTCGTTTATTATTTACACATATCGGGAAGTTTATGTAGCTTTCCTCAAGGCAAAATCCCAATACTACTAGTTAATCTGACACTAGTATTTGCTTTTCTTTGCAAGCGAACTTAGATGATATTGTAGGCAGCTGTTGTATTTGTTTATAAATCTTTGTATTTGAGGCAGAATTCTCAGCATTCTTATTAATTTATACACTATCGACTTTTGTATAAATATTTCTTCTTTCAATTACTACTTTTTTACCGGGACAGCGCGTACGCAGTCCCGACTACCAAAATTGCACGCCCGATATACCCCTTTAGGGATAATCGCAAGGATATCTGCTTAACCCAGGTGCAATGGCTAAGCCCATCCCCGGAGGACCCGCCTTCTTGATCACGGGATCCTAAGCGCCAAGTAAGTATGCTCGGGCGTCTGATGTTTCACTATGTCATATCGTGTTAACAGCATACGAAGAGTGCGGTGAGACGAAGGACGTACGAGACATCTAGTGGGCGATAATGGGATTTGGGGGAGTGGATTGGGTGAAGTTTGATCTTGGATTATTTAGCTGACTTTCAAACCTATCTGTTTATTATAAAAATGATCATTAGTGATATGATTAATAAATGTGATTAAAATAAAATAGTTTCGTATTCATGACAAAATTACTGTTTGCAATTTGAAAATACATACTATCTTTATGTGTAAATTGATATAGAAACCAACATTAAACAAATTGTATATAATTGTCCTTTTATCTAGATTTTTCGGGACTATTTGTAGAAATATGCTTTGTGAATATGAAAATGCGAGATGAAAAAAGTATGATATCCTATAAATATGAAAAGCCAACTATTAACATTATATATCTTGGTACGGCTCCAATAGCAAAAAATACAAATATTCTACTTACATAATATCAAGCAAAAAATTGTAGAAGTTTATAAAATCTTGAGCAGAACATATTTATACTAATATTAGCTATGGAATTTGCTACTTTTTGTTTATTCTGGTCGCTATAATGTGGCACCTGTTATTCAAAATTACAATACAGCAATCATAGTCACATATGAGCTAGGTGAAAATACAATATTTGTAATTCTAATGAATTTGTAAAGATGATGAGAAAAATAGTATTCTTGCTCTTATTATTACTGCAGGTTTTTGGTGTGAAAGTGCCATGTTTTATCTACTCCTTTGGCCTTTATAAAATTTGGTTATAGTTTACATTTTACTTTTCACAATACTATCACCACATATCTTATGACATTCTCAATTTGTTGTATTTACCTTTTTAAAGAAAAACCTACCTGGTAATCATACGTACATTTTTTTGTTCTGATTCTTCCAAATAATTTGATATCGATGTTTTTTCTGGTGTATGTCCATACCAGTTTTCTTTTCATTTCAATTTCACACAAGTTTTCCAGTAGAGTCCTTTCTATCCTTTACAGTACTTTACTTGCCTTATCAATTTTTTTTAAAGCACCACATTTTGAAACATCTACCTGAAACATTTCTCTATATTGTTGATGATTTTGTTTAGTTTTATAAAAACTTGATATATGAAATATATATATTTTGTTTCGATGTAATAGCCTACTTAGAATTTAGAATAATAGCCTACTAGATACAGTAGAACTCCAATTATCCGAATTAATGAGGACCGGGACCCATTCGGATAATCAAATATTCGGATAATCGGAGTTTTTTTTTTTAATTGCCATTGGAGAGAAAAAAAGTTACGTTTTGATATTGCACTATTTTTTATTGAATTAAATAAAGAAACATGACATTTTCACATGTTTTAAATATAAATAAAATGTACTTAAACGAGTTAAAAAAAAGTACAAGTTAGAAATAAAAATCATTGTTTTGTAACATCTCCGTCAAATCTAAACAAACAATGTGCCTACACTGGCTTTGCTGGTGGAAGAATAATAGCGCACTTAGAGTTTTTTTGGACAATTTTTTTTTCTGAAAGTGATTCGGATAATCGGCGATTCGGATAGTCGAAGTTCGGATAATTGGAGTTCGGATAGTCGGAGTTCGGATAATTGGAGTTCTACTGTATAGAATTTCGATGAATAGCCTACTAGATATAGATATGAAATATTTGATTTTTTTGAAATTTTTAATAATAATTTTAATTTATTTTTAGGACATTATACTGTATGCTCCTTGAATTATGAAGGACTTCATCGTCCTTTATCGTATCTTTAGCGTTTTGAACAAAAATATTTTAAAATGTTAGCACATTGTATGAAGAACTTAATTTCTATTTGGGGTAAGTCTTAGTAATAATAATTTAATTGGAAATTATATATGTATATATATATACATATATATATATATATATATATATATAAAATACGAAAGTTTAATTTTTCAAGAATAAAGGTTTTCCGAAAAAGTTTCCTTTTAACTACTATAGTAGATGATAAAATTAAGTTTAGTGCAACTTCCAATTATATTTTTATTTTTAAATATTTTGACACATATAATATATAAACGCACATAAATTTATATATATATATATATATATATATAAATCTATTTTATAGATAAACCATAACCTGTCTCAATAGTGGATTTGAATTTTGTCATATTGAACAGATTTACGCAAACAACGTTATTTTTATTATATACAGATTTAAAAATTATTATGTATACATCAACATATATATATATATATATATCGATTTTTTCAATAATTTTGATATATGTTTACAAAGTCTTCAGGGCAACATATTATCAAAACTATTTCAGACATATTTTATTTTTCTGAGGAATTTCGGAGTTTTATAGTACAAAAATGTAAATTTTATGTAATATTTATATTTCTATTTGATGTATTTTCCTTCATATTTATTATTTATCATTACAAATTACAATTATTTTTGCAATCTAACGTAACATATAACAGTCATGTCGTCTTCAGTGAAACTACTATTTGAAATGAAAATAAGAAATGCTGAAAAGTGAATGAATTATTTTGTTTTAAAAGTTTTCATATAAAATATATTTTACCCTGATTAAATGTCGTCGATAATTTTTTTTTTAAATTTCTATGGGTTTTAATTAACGTAACTTCATATATAATTTTTTTTTCATTTCTTTATTAAAAAATTATTAAATTATTCAATTTTATTAGAACTATTTATACAGTCTCTTTCTTCAGGAACTGTTAAATAAAAGCATTTGTTCTATTTATAAACTTTATAAGTAATTCAAATATTGGGGAATAAATTTGATTTTTTCAGAAGCCGGAATTATATATATATATATATGTGTTGTGTGTGTGTGTGTGTGTATGTGCACAATTCATGACAAATTGAATTTTCAAATAAACCGCTGCTGAATATTTTTATGTACGACTGTAATAATGCTCATACTCAGACGGAATACATATATACATAAAAAAACCACTTAAAATATGAAAGTTTTTTTTGAATTTGCCATAAGGTCATGTCGGTCAACTTTACTGTTATATATATATGTATATATATATATATATATATAATTTGTAATATTATATAGATGTAACATCGGCCAAACATAAAATAGTGTTTATAAACATTATTCGTCTCTGGTTCTTGGAAAAATACAATATATTCTGAGAAACATATGAATATTATCATTATACATGTTAAGAAACTGCATATATTGTTAAGTCATCTCATACATATATTATTCATATCTTTAAACATCTTT